GGCTCCCGTCCCGAGTGGCTAGGCCGCGGAGTGCGAGAAGCGAGCCGGGAGCTCTGTCACCACCTCTTCTTGGTGACTAACTCCGGTCCCCCGGGAGCTCAGCGTCTCCGCCCCCGGGAGACCGGTGAGGAAGAAGTCGGGGCCCAGCGAGGAAAAGAGGAAGGGGGCAGACAGCAGAGCCCTCGGTGCCCCCGGTTTTCACTTTCGTGCCGCAGAGTACGCGGAGGTGGGTGTTGGGGGAGGGGGTTAAGACAAGTTCAACTCCAGCCTCAGCCGAGCAGTCGCTTCTTTATCCCCCTGCGCATGTGGGCCGCCTGACATGTGCCACTCTATTGTTTTGATAAGAACCCCAAGCTGCTGGTATAGTTTCAACTCCCAAATTTTCAGCCTGTCACTGGTTTATCCCAAACAGCAGTGGGATATGTTTTGGTGATAGGATCTCCAAGAGAGAACCTGAACTGATCAATCACTGCAGCAGCCTGACGCTCCCTTTTTCTCATCCCCCTCACTGAGAAGGATTCCCTTTGTGGCTTAGAAACCATGTGTTGCAGCGACCAAATGCGTTGCATGTAGGAGGCACCTTTTCTAAATGGTGGGCTTGATCGTGGGAGGGCTCTTAGGCAAACTGCACCTGTCTCAGAATGGAGTAGTGAGGTTGGAAGTCAGTCCCTTGGAGCGTTTTCTTCTTCAGCTCCTCAGAAAGGGTTACACATAAACATGTTATATCCAGTAAAGTAGATACTACTTTTCATCAGACTGTACTTTTGAGTAGGAGTGCATATCTCACTCTGTTCCTGTACAGACTTGTTTTGTTACTCAAATAAGAGTTCGCTCTTGTAACTACCTAAACCTACCTAAGCGATTTAGATTAGGTAACTGGACAGGATGATGTCTGGTTTTTGTTTTTTAATTTAAGCTAAACTCCTTTCTGATAATTCTGAATTTTACAAAAATTGTGTTTAAGAGTGCCAAGAAATAGTAAACAGGCTTAAATTTCAAACTGTTTTCTCCTTTGATATAAGCAGTCCTATCTTTAAGAGTTTCTTCTCATTTTAGAGGATAGGATAAATATGGCTCTTATCCTTTATGAATTAAACACTCTTCGTGTACTTCGTTTCTTAAGATGAATTTTTTCAACCATGCATAAATCTGAAATGCTGAAATGAAGACCTTTGACATTATAAACCTATCTTCCATGAACATTGAAAACTCTTTGTAGTCTTAGGACATTTAAACATTTTTAAATAGCTGGGATTTTTTTTTAACTTTCATTTTGTGCTCATGTGCTGAAGTATTTGGGTTTTTAGAAGTTGCAGACAGTTCAAGGGAGATGACTGGTTCAGGAACTAAGATATTTCACCATTTAACCTGAACAAAGTAGTATCACTGGTATTCTTAGGTATTTGATTTGGGGGCAAACTTGGAAGACTGCCATTTAATTGTGTTAAATTTTGAGTTATTTTCTCTTTCTCTTAAGTGATTACAAAAACATCATTCCAGAAATGCACTTGGAGTAGATGGTATATGGTGGTCTGCTGTATTATAGTCATCTGACCTTGACCCTTGCCTCAAGTCTAGGAAGCTTCTGATTTCACACATACATTGAATTACAGATTACTTTATGTGATTTTGAAGGTTATCTCTTAAGTAAATTATTTGGAATATTTTTGTTTTGTAGTATTTATCTGAAGACCACTCTGCTCACCTATTTACTCAGGTGTCTTACTTCTTGAATATAAATTTCTTCACCTCTCAGCCTTGCTCACTTCATCACTATCTGCACAGTAGCTTGTGCCTCTAACTCTGGCTAATGGCTTTTGCCTTTTAATTACTAGTTTTCTGTCTATATCTTCATTGTTGTATTCACTTCCTTTTTGTCTTTCTAAAGCAGCAAGATCACCGCTCTTTTTGCCTGGTGTAATGTTTCCTATTACTGCCCTGTAAAGCAATATATTTGTTGTCTCACATTTTATCTTCTCCAGGACCCTGAGTTTTTAGAGACAGGGACCAGGAAGGATCCTCAGCCATAATACAGTACAGACTCCTTTATTTTGTTTGAACTATATGCTCCTTAACTAATTGCCAACTCTTCTTTGACCTGCTTGTATAAGCAAAACAGGCTCATTAAAAATAGCACATTAACTATAGGCAAATGCACAAGTGAATAATTTAGTCTCTTAAATCAGATGAAAACTTATGCTTTAATTTTGGTTAGCTGATGACAATTTTATATTTTGCTGTGTATTGTTCAAAAACTGGGACATGTCTGAATACTAAAAATTCTAGATTTTGGGGATAGGAAAATGATTTATTACATTATCCAGTGAGTGATTAATCTACTTTTTTTTTTTAAGCGTTTAGAATTGGGATGTATTTCCCACCCACCTTTGAGTATGTCTAACGTTTCATACAAAATTTAGGAATCTCAGCTGGCATGGTGCACACCTGTAATCCCAGCACTCTGGGAGGCTGAGGCAGGAAGTGGCAAGTTCATTTCCAACTTGGGCAATTTAGTGATTTAGTGAGACCCTCTCTCAAAATAAAAGAAATTTTAAAAAATAGGCTAGAGATGTAACTAAGGGCAAAGGCCCTGGGATTAATACCCAGAACCTTAAAAAAAAAAAAAAAAGCAATTTCTTCCACAGGGACTTGAGCTGTTTCAACCTGGCTTTCCAGTGTCAGTTTGATTAGCTTATAATGCATCCTGTTTTCATTGTTCATCAGTTCTCACTTGTTAATTTAGTCATTCCACAGCTCCCATTTATAGATGAGAAATCTGGAGTTGGGGTAAGTAGAGTAAGTCTAAGATCACTGTCTAAAGTCACATATCTAACAATTGATGATGCTGAATTTTAATTCACATCCCTTAAGGTTCTAGAGTTTATGCCGTTTTACTTTTTATTATCATATGGTGCTTATTATGAATAATTTGTCCTTATGGAGGTTGAAGTTTGCAGAAGTATGTACCAAAAAGAATAGGAGCATTGTGCAGAATTCAAATTGACTGTGTAGATCATGGTATAACTATCATTCTACACTAGTTGCTCAGACATTTGCCTTGTTTACTACAGTCCTCAGTGATTAAGCTCTAGTTATCAAATAAACCAGAATGCCATCAATTTATAGTGGAGAAAAGTGACTTTCACACAGACCGTTTCCATACTGATGATCAATTATATGTGAAATCTAGTCACAGTCAAAGGCTAGGCTTGGTGATTTTCAGAGGGAGTTGGATAATCATCATGGTTTGTGTCTTTATATTGGGTGTTTACTTCCTCTTTTAGGAATTAGTCTGACATATGACCCTAATACTTGAGTCCATGAATGCTTTTTTTAAGATGGTATGTCCGAGCTTCCTAAATGGTTTTCAAGTTTTGCCTTCTGTTTAGCAGACTACCATGTTTTGTATTACAGCGTCATTTCTTCAGGCCTAACATGCTATGGTGTAACAAGCCACCCCATGCCTTAGTGGCTCAAAATAACAACTCATTTTGTTTGTTCACTATTGTGTGGATTTTCAGTTTGGTTTCTGCTCACCTCCTCTGTGCTTACTTGCTTAACTGCCAGCAGCTTAGAGGCCTGGCTGAGGGTCCTTGGAGTAATATAGGTGGCCTCAGGCACGCGGCTGGGCTTCAGCTGAGATGACTTTCCTTACTATGTAGTCTCTCACCCTGTGATGCCTCACATGGTGGTCTCAGGGTTTTAAGGCAGTGAGGACAGAAGTTCTCAATGTCATCTCTGTGTATGTTAATAAAAACAAATCACATGGTCAGTCCAGATTCAAGAAATAGTGAAATTGCCAGGCATGGTGGCTTATGCCTTAATCTCAGCACTTGGGCATCTCAGGCAGGAGGAGCACCACAATTTGGAGGCCAGCTTGGGCTACATAGTGAGTTCAAGGCCAGCCTGGGCTACAAAGCAAGATCCTGTTTCAAAATACTGAAGGGAAGAAAAAAAAAGAAAGAAAGAAAGAAAGAAGAAAGAGTGAGATAGACATCAATAGTTAGTGAGAAGAATGGTGTTATATTTCAAAGGAGTTATAGACCTTTGACCTGCTTTGCAAACTTTTTCTACCACAAGTAGTTGTTAAGATTTTATGCTTGGGAGCATCCTGGTTGGGTTTCTGTGTTCAGTGATAATCTCTAATTGATGTTATCCACCAAACAATAAAAATTATCCTAACAACTTGTGGATATACCTGTTGCTTGCCCCTGTCCTACCATGATAATGATTCAAATTGTTTCTTCTTAGAATTTCTATTGTTCCTACACATGCCTCTTCCTACTCCCCTTCCCAGTGCTAAACTTAAATCTTCCTTGGTCATCCTGAAAATCTTTTATGTGTTCCCCTGAATTGTTTCTGTGTAC